ATGAATAAAAATTAGGAAAAGAAGAAAATTACCTAACAGGAAAGGCACAGCTTAAATGCAAGTCACAGGGCTGAAAAAAAAAATTGATTTAAGAAATGTGAAACAATCTCGTTATAGGGAAAGGGCGTTTGAGGTATCCCGTCCACTATTATTTAGATTCTTAGTTGGGATCACCCTTGTGGATTCCTGGGAATTTCCCTAGTTCCTGTTTTCTTGTTAAGCCCATAACTGGCATAAGACCAAATTAGGCCCCCTGAATGTGGATGTCAGTTGGGGGGGGGCTTGGGCAGTCTATGAGGCAGCTGCAATGGAACCAGTATTTATCCCTAGTCTATGAACTGGCTTTTTGGAGCCCATTCCCTATGGAGGGATACTTTTTCAGCCTAGATACAGGGGGAGTGTGGTGATATCTTGCTTGTACAAACAAAGCCTGTCTGAGGGTCAGAGAATGGAGCTTGCCACTAGCTAACCATAGAAGTGTGGAGGTCTGTACAGACAGACAGGAAGTGATGTAGCTGGGCAGAAACAGGATATAAGCAGGGAGAAACAGGAAATGGGTCTTTGGTCTGCTGAGATGCTAAGGAGGTCAGACTCCGTCTCTCTGATCTCTCAGCATTTCCCTCTATATCTGACTCTGGCTTTTTATTATCTAGACCAATTAAGAACTCCATTTACAAATGAAGATGGTAAATGATTGTAAGGATGAATTAGCACCAAATGACTTACTTCCCAATAACAGGAGTAAACTAATTTGTCCTTTCTGCTAAAGGAAGCTGAATTCCTATTGAAAATGAAAGGCAACTTGAACAATCTGCAAAGATATCATTATTCTACCTGGAATATATGAGAGAGCCTGCATCTTTCCCCAACCCCCCAAAGAAAGAAAAATAAATCACTGTTCTGAGATAACTTGCAAAAGGAAAACAAAAACAAAACAACAACAACAAAAAAACCAAAACAAAAGAACTCCATTTACAGAGGAGGGCCTCAGTCCTGCCTCAAATGATGTGACAGACTGATGATTCCCTCATGGGAGGCCTCACCCTCTCTGAGGAGTGGATGAGTGGATGAGGGGGTGGGATGGGGAGATGGTGGGGGCAGTGGAAGGACGGGAGGGAGAGGGAACTGGGATTGGTATATAAAAAAAGATTGTTTTTAATTTAAATAAAAAATTAATAAAAAAGAAAAAATGATCTATCAAACAAAGAAAGAAAGAAATGTGAAACATAATGACTGTCCCTAATCCAGGGCCACTGTGTTTTTCCCAGTGGGTTTCCATA